CTTTTGCTATGAAATTGAGAATTAGATCATGCTCAAATCCTTCTCATTAACAATTTGGTCTCTCATTATTATTTTTTATTTGGGCTTAATTTTCTTTTTTTTTTTCTCTACTTTTTAATTTCATTTTTCAGTACTTAAACATAAACACAACAAAAAATCAAAATACAAATATTTACATAAAAAAAAAAAACCAAAAAAAAAAAAAACACCCTTCATTTTTTTTACGGCCACACGCCGATCAAAATAAACATAAAAAAAAAAAACCCTTCATTTTTTTCCGGCCATACGCCGATTTTACTTACTCGCCTCTTCCATCGTTTTCTTCTTCTTTTTATCACCTTGGGGGACCCTTGATGCCCCTGCCCCCGTGCTTTCGTCGAGATCGATGACTCCCTGCTTACTATCAAAGGCCAAGAACGACATTGCTCCAAATCGGGCCATGGAGGTGGTCTTCCGTTTAAGCTCTTTGTTTTCGGCCTTTAGTGCGCCTATTTTTGCTCACGCATCCTTGTACATGTGCTGGAGCAAAGAGAGTTGGGCGTTGACCTGATGGAGCTCACTCGTCCTGTTCTACAATCAGTGAGCCAATTTTGTGACTGCCGTCACCGCCTCCATACAGGATGTCAGTGTGAAATGATTGGCTTCTATGTCAGATTGAGCTGCTGTGATTTGCTCAATCGACATCATAGGAAGGTTAGAAAGAGGAATGACAAGAAGAGTAGGAGTAGGGGCACTCAATCCAGCAGAGCTTATGGGATCGTTCAGGTCTGGAAATAGAGTGAGGGGACGAGATGAGGAAGCCATGGTTTGGAGGTGAGAGCTGTAAAAGAAATGAGTTGCAAAGAAATAGAAGAGAACAGACTGAGGTTTGGCCTCCTCCGTTCCCGTTTTTTTTTTTTTTTGTCTCTCGATGAGGAATAAGAAACAGACGAGAGTGGTGAAGAAGAGATAGAAGAGAATGGTGAAGAAGAAAATGGAAGAGTGTGTGATTAAGAAGAAGGCAAAAGAGAAGAAGACAATGAGGGAGAGGGAGCCAAGGCGAGTACATATCGAGGCCTACTTTTGTCGACCAATGACGCAAAAGTGAGGCCGCGTGTTAAACGCGTTTATCGAAGGAAAAAGAGAGACGCGGACGAGTTGTATGCGTATGCATATATGTATATATATGTTTTGAATTGTATAGATGCCATTTATCATTATCATTCTCCTCCTCCATCTCCAGATTCTAACCTATGATTTCCTTTTGATAATGTCATAGGAGGAGAAATTATATGATGTTATGCATTATGGTATTATTTTCAAACTAATCTGATGTTATGTATTTATAGTTTGATATCTTAATCTTATATCATGTTGTTGATTAAAGCTTATTTATTACGCACGTGCTAACCTATGTATTTAGAAATGAATTCAGGGAGCATGACTTGAGGGGGAGCCTTTCTTACTCCCAAATCAAATCAAAACATCATTGTGTGCCATCATAAAAAATGGGAAGATTGTTAGACTTATTTATTTTGATGATTTATTTAATTATGTTTTAATTTCTTTGAAAGAGAAAAATAGAATGCAAAATTTATTTTGATGATTTATTTAATTATATTTTAATTTATTTGAAAAAGAAAAATAGAATCAAAATTTATTTTGTCCCATTATTTCTCACCTAAACCTTTATCATAAATGTTGTTAGAATGTATTTAATATTTGATTAATCAGGAGTTCAAACAGCCCAAAACAAAGGTTCAAACAGCCCAGCATAGCAATAGGCTAAAAGGTTCAAAAGGTTCAAATGGAAGATATTCAAATTTGTAATGATGAAGTAGAATATATTAAAATTAGTAATGATGGAGTACAACGGCTATAAATTCAAATGAATACAACGGCTATAAGTTTCATTATATATACCAAAGCCTCTAATGTAAACAAGTTACAAAAAAAATCAGAAAATATTCTTTGATCTATAATCACTCACATCTATTCTCTGAAAAATTCTCTGAAAAATGTTCTTCAAGTTTTGTTTACATCCTCTCTCAGAAATTATACACTGGGCCTTATAACATTAAGCTCATCTTTCCTATGTGAGGTTTATAGAAAAACCAGAGCTTCATTTTATATCTATCTTTGAGAGATAATTATTGTAGCTTTCTGTGAAAGCAAAAACACCTTCTTTTCAACCTTGTAAAAGTGTAGCACACTCAGTGTTCTTGACTTAAAAAGTCTGTGTAAAATCTATGGAGGATTGCTCTATCTGTGAAAAGGTTATTAGCACCCTGTGAATCTAGAAGACAGTGAAAAATTTCAAGTGAAGCTTGAGGAGTGGATGTAGGTTTGATCGAAGCCGAATCACTATAAATCTGTTTGTTTCCTCTTCCCTAATATCTTTACTTTCCTACTACTGCTATATCTATCTAATATTCATGTGCTAATCATTTGATTTACCCTGTATGTTAGTTATACTTCATTGTTATTTTGCTTGATCATTTACGGCTAAGTTCATCATTATGCTTGTTAATAATTTGTTGTACTAGCAGTTAATTTTATTGGGGTATTATTAATTTTAATTTGTAGAAACCTAATTTACCCCCTCTTAGGTTGCTTTTTGGATAACAACTATAATAACTATAATATTATCTGATCAAAATAGAACAATTATTAGACTTCACCGGCTAATGATTAACAATCTGTCATCATAATCATTTAGCAGATTTAGTCACAACTCCAAAGGTTTTTCTAAATGAGTCACCTTACATATACGTTAAGCAAATTCGATTACAAAAATAAATAAACTAAACATTTAAATTTTCAAACTTTAAATAAACTATAAAACTATTATATTATTGTAAAAAAAAAAAAGAACATAAACTTTTACAATTGCACTGGATGATATTTTATTTTTAAAATCGTTACATAATAATCCAATTGTCAATAGTGTCAAATACATCATTTTTCTATGTAAGAACTCATTCATCTATTAATCTCTCATTCAATTACATAACTGACTCTTTATTAGCAAATAAAAAATTAGGCTTTGAGCTTGAGGTCTGACTCTTTATTATCAAATAAAAAGTTAAGCTTTGAACTTGAGGTTCTGTTTCATTGTTTCGAACGGTTCATTTTGTAAGAAAAAATCCTAGAGATCCCAAAAGTTCTACCAAATGTCTCACATGGGTGTTGGACCCATACGGGACCCACATGGTGTGGGTCCCACACCCATGTGAGACATTTGGTAGAAATTTTGATAGAACTTTTGGGGTCTCTAGCATTAATCTTTTGTAAAATCCTTAATTTTTATCATCTATAAAAATGTTTATATCAATTAGATAATCGTAACCTATTCATTTTATCTCGTTTGTCTTAAAAAAAAAATGGATGACAAGTATATTTTTTAAAATAAATCATTCACTTTTGGTAAATGAACACAATAAAATAAAATGGTTACAATTATTGGATCAATCTCATTATTTCCATAGATGATACACACTAAGAGTCTTATAAAATGATGAAACAATTGATGAGGCCCACAAGCCCGTCAAATTTTCTCAAATTCAAACTAAACTTGAGAAAAACTCAATGATGGAATCGGAATTCAGTGATTTAGATAAAGCTACTGAAGTAGCTCAATGACTTTGCTATTTTCTTGGATATTCCTTATTGATTGAAACTTGTGCTAGCAATTTCGTATACTTTGCCACAACCGATCAAGTATTGGTAGGGCACAGAGTAATACGTATAATGCAAGGTCTAGACATTTTCGTCGAAGACATAATTCAATACGATGACTACTCTCGTGTGTTGTCACTATAGGCTATATACAGTTTAAGGACAATATCACAGATCTGTTAACCTAACGGATAAATCAAGAGTTAGTAAGAAGTCGTCAAGAGGAATGAGGTTAAGGCCTTTAGCGAATGTTACCGGAACGGAAAACCCAACCTAATTGACTGAAGATCCCAAGATTTAGGCTCAAAGCACTACTAGAAAAGGGCACTTTTGACACGGAACTTTTTGCGACGGTTTGAAAATCGTCGCAAAAAGCAAGTTTTTGCGACGGGAAAAAATACCGTCACAAAAAGGATTTTTTTGCGATGCCAATTGACTATTGTAAAAAAGGGACCAAATAAATACCATTATTAGAGACGGAAAATTCAAAACTGTGGCAAAAAGTAATATTATACGCGACGGTACATTAACTGTCGTAAATTTCTTTTTTCGTCTTGCGATTTTTGTATTTTTTTGCGACGCTGTTTGTTAGTCCGTCACAAAAGGTTTTATTTTTGCGACGCCCTTTGTTAGTCCGTCGCAAAAGTTTTTATTTTTGTACATTACCCATTGTATTTTTTATGTAAAATGTGTATGTGCTTTTCTGTTTCTTTCTTTTCTTTTTTGGCTGGGCAAAAGAAAATTTTTTTTTTTTGGGTTCAATAAACTGATTTTTTTTTTCCAAGAAACTGTTTTTTTTTTCCCTCTTTCCTTCTAATGTTTCTTGGAAAACAAACAAAGCCCAAAGTATAATTTTATGGTTCAACAAAGTCACTACAACAAAAAAGACTTTTCTCGGCATTTTTTTTCCAACGTTTCCGCAAAACTCTACAAAAACAAAATTATTCTTGGCATTTTTCAACAAACTTCATAATTTATGATATAATTCTTGGCATTTTTTTTAAAAACTCTGTAAATATCAAAATAAAATGACGTGGTTTTAAAACACAATACTTCAACTAAAATAAATATTATTTTTTCCGGTGTTTTAGTATAAGCTAGAGATATTTTTTATGTAGTCCAAAACTCCGTCGTTTTGGCATAGACTTCAAATAAAACCCTAGTGCTCCATATTGTTCTCATTTCAAGAACTGTGGCCAAGCAGCGGTTTCTCTACCTCACAGGTAAGTTTCTATGGCTACTCTCTCTATACCACTCTATCTTCCTTTTTCTGGTGGTATGTTTGTGAAGGGCCGGGTGGATTTCCCGCGGCGGGGATGTGGCAGTGTTGTGGTGAGGATGAGGATAGCTAATCCGTGGTAGGGAAGGAGGAGGGGGTTTCGGTATTGGAGGGTGGGGTGGATGGATATGGGTTGTTGGTAGGGGAGGAGGAGGAGGAGGAGGGTAAGGGTGGTTTTCGTGGTAGAGAGGTTAGCTGTTGAAGAGGATTTCGGTAGTAGAGAGGTTAGCGAGGCTGTGATGAGGGAAGGTGTTTTTGGTGGTCAAGAGATGGCGGGAATTATGATCTGAATGTTTGTTTCAACTGATTTGTTACTGTTACTCAACTATTACTGAAGATGGGATTTGGGTTTATTTAATTTTGGTTCAAGTTTTGTGCGGTTGTGGAATTTGAATTTGACTAACTACTTGGCTATAATTGCTTAAAGGGGTTCTAGGGTTTTTAATTACATTTGTGGCCTTTGATGTTTCTCACTATGGTTTCCATGGATTCATTACTTTACCCTTTGTTTTAATGCTTGTTCTGTGTTTTTTTTTTTTTTTTTTTTTGGGGTGTCTCATTCATGGAAGAAAATTGGGGCCTTTGACTAGGGATCAGTTTCTAAAATTTAGGGCTTTACCTTTCTAAAATTCAGAACTTGTTTTCTGAATTTGTTTTGAAAAATTAGAATATAGTTTGGCAAATGAAAAGAGATTTTGTAAAGACCAAGGAAGAGCTTTGTATTGAGTACAGGGAAGGAGGGAGGAACAAAGGGGGTGGTGGTGTTGTTGCTGGGTTCTGTAAAGACCATACTGAGCTGTGGAAGAAGGTACCCAATTTTTGTTTAATTAATGGGTTCTAATTAGTTTCTTTTTTTCTTTTTTGGGTGATCGAAATTGTTGTCTAATGTGGGTTTTTGGATGTTTGTTTTTGTTTTGCAGCAACAACAAACAGGGAAGTTCAAGATTGTGGCTAGGGATGAGCACAAGAAATAGCAAGATCGTGTGAGGTTCAATGGTCTTCATTATTTTGTTGATCTGTTGGTAGAAATTTGGAAATGGGGTTTAGAGATGTTTCTTATTCTAGTTTAGTTATTTTGGTGTAGTTCTGTGTTAGGATGATTTTTATGCATGTGGTAAAATAGATATTGATTCAATGTTGGTTAATATTTTGCATTTTCTTCTTTGAAATCTCATTTTATGTCGAAATTGGTTAAGGATTCTTTGTTTCACTATTTTTTGTCCTAAATCTATCCCAACATTAGAGTAAAAAATAGATCTTATGCCAAGATATCATGTCATCAGTGACATGTAGTATTACTAACCAATAATATAGGATGAACCCCATTCATAGTAAACTCTTATTGGTTAAGGATTCCTTGCCACCATGCGAGTTTGTTTTGTACTTGAAAATTCTTCTCAAGATTCAGCCAGGTGCCATTATGCCTCTAGTAATATAGGTGTTGGTTTTTTCGATATAAATGTTATATTGTAAGTCCCTATTATTTCTTGTCTAGAAACTCTGAATTTTACTTTCTTAATTGTCATCAGGTAGTGAATAATTTTACTTGAAGGCTGTCCAGTTTCTAGTTGATTTCTATATGAATTTTTTTATAGCATGAAATTTGTTAAATGAATCCTGATCTGTGAGTCATGAAGTGATGCCATGATTATGAAATTATATTGTGGAACTCTGATAAAGCTCCTCGTTGATAAAACCACTAAAGAACATGTGTTCTGAGGTCTCTTATTTCTATTACCAAACAATCTAACACAATCTCCTTTTTCTTTTTGATTTTTTATGCGTATTTGTTTTCCTATATGTTTTTGGTAAGAGCAAATGGTGAGTCGGAGTTTTCTTTGATCATCGTCACACTCAGGACAACCAGTCAATCACTCCGATTGTCTTTCTGAAAATCCAAGCATTTTGAGGTACCCATTCCATTCCGATTTCTCTTCACCATTTCTTTGATTTCGATACTCATATATACAGAGTATATTCATGTATATCCCTAAAATTGATTCAATCATTCTTTTTTCTTCTTAATGATGAATTAGAGTTCTAGAGTCGGAGTTTTCTTTGATCATCGTCACGCTTAGGACAACTAGTCAATCACTCCGATTGTCATTCTGAAAATCCAAGCATTTTGAGGTACCCATTCCATTCCGATTTCTCTTCACGATGTCTTTGATTTCGATACTCATATATATAGAGTATATTCATGTATATCCATAAAATTGATTCAATCATTCTTTTTTCTTTTTAATAATAAATTAGAGTTCTGCTAGATGTAGATAATGCATGCTATTGAAGTGGGGTGGGAGGATGTAACAAACAACATAGGATAAAAAAAATGTTACTATTTAGAAAAAAATGTTTTTAGAGTTGCAGCCAAACATTGAAAAACAAAATGAATGTAAATTATTTTACATGAAATTATTTTCATTGTAAATTATTTTACATCAAAACAAACGGAGTCTGAAACAAATAGAAGTTTTCTTTAATTATGTTGTAAATGATGATTTTTATTATTATTATTAATTTTTTTTTTGGGGTTTCTTTTTGCAGATGCAACCCTTTTGATTACGTGATGATATCTTCGCATATCGATATTGGAGCTTACTCGTGATGATATCTTCACATATCGATATTGGAGCTTACTATTGATATCAAAACAAGCTATAATATATATGTTTTTTTTATTTTATTTGTATTGTCGTTACTTTTGTTTTGTTGTTTTAGATACAAAAATTTGAGTTCTTGAATATCAAAAATTATTAGTATTGTTGAAGGATGTTTTATATATTTTTGTAAAGAATATTTGATTGACAATTGTTACAGGGTACATATATATTATTCTTGGTATGATTTTGTGAATGTGAATGTGGATGTGGATGTGGATGTGAATGTATTTTATTTTTAAAAATATTAATAATTTGTACAGGGAATGAATTAATAAAGTATATATTGATTTTATGAAAATAATTTTATTGCGACAATAATGAATCGTTGCTAATGTAATCATAATTTTCTTACAATTTATTAGCGACGGGTTAACATGTCTCATATGCATATTAGTTCAAATTTTTAGCAACGGTTTAAACTGTTGTAAATACGATATTAATTAAATTCTATTTTTTTGCGACATTTTAGACCGTCGCTAATAATACTTTTTGCAACATCAAATACTGTCGCTAAAAAGTTTTGGCGACGGCGACGAACATCGTCACTAAAAGTGAAGTTTTTTTTCCTTCTTTTTGTGTCAAGTTAAACCGTCACAAAAACCATTGATTAGCCATCGCTACAAGAAAGCGACGGTTTGTAACCGTCACAAATACTTTTTGCACGCCCCCTTCCGCCACCCCCCATTTTCCGTCGCTACTTCGTCGCAAAAGGGTTTTGCGACGGTATGTGGACCTTTTGCGACATTTGAGACCGTCACAAAAAGCCCAATTTTTAGTAGTGAAGGGACAACCTAATTGTGTATAGTGGATGAGTCAATGTAGAGGTAAATCCTCCTGTTCATTCCTTTATATAGTGATATTCTGTGGGGTAGAAAGTTAAGTTGATACTTTTAATGACATAAATGTTGTGAATAGTCAACCGTGATATAGCAAGATACCTTATGTAAGTCACCTATGTGAGTTCGAAGTGGGACTTCTTCTTTAAGAATTAACAAGGCTGAATTCTTTAAAAACTCTAACTAAACCAAGCTAGTGTTCTAGGGCCAAATGGGACACACCAGTGAGAACAAGAATAATGGTTGGAGTTACTCCTATGTGAGGTCTATTGTCTCAGTTTACACAAACAACAGAACAGTTCAAGACATCACATTCATTGGTCAGCCAGTAAATCTGATAGACTTTCACTACGAAAGGTTCAAGGCCAACTACCTTTTATGATGCAGGGTTATTTTGTGTGCTCTCTCTCTCTCTCTCTCTCTCTCTCTCTCTCTCTCTAAGTCTTTGTTTTTAAGCATTGTCGTTTTTCTTTATTCGGCCAATTTTATTCATGTGGGGGATTGTTAGAAAATAATGATTTTTTGGCAACTTTAATTAGAAATTAAAGTGGGACCCAACCACCGGTTGAGGTGGGTCTGAGTGGTTTTGTATTCTCTCAAGTGAGAATATTACAATATAAAAATGATGGGCCGAAACCATTTAAATGTTGTGAATAGTCAACCGTGATATAGCAAGATACCTTATGTAAGTCACCTATGTGAGTGCGAAGTGGGACTTCTTCTTTAAGAATTAACAAGGCTGAATTCTTTAAAAACTCTAACTAAACCAAGCTAGTGTTCTAGGGCCAAATGGGACACACCAGTGAGAACAAGAATAATGGTTGGAGTTACTCCTGTGTGAGGTCCATTGTCTCAGTTTACACAAACAACAGAACAGTTCAAGACATCACATTCATTGGTCAGCCAGTAAATCTGATAGACTTTCATTACGAAAGGTTCAAGGCCAACTACCTTTTATGATGCAGGGTTATTTTGTGTGCTCTCTCTCTCTCTCTCTCTCTCTCTCTCTCTCTCTCTCTCTCTCTGAGTCTTTGTTTTTAAGCGTTGTCGTTTTTCTTTATTCGGCCAATTTTATTCATGTGGGGGATTGTTGGAAAATAATGATTTTTTGGCAACTTTAATTAGAAATTAAAGTGGGACACAACCACCGATTGAGGTGGATCTGAGTGGTTTTGTATTATCTTAAGTGAGAAGATTGCAATATAAAAATAATGAGCAGACACCATTAAGTTGTGAATGAAAATTGTCTTATAAAGTGGGCATCAATAAAGTTGGAGATGTTTTTCCATAATAATACAAGAAAATATATAAAATAAATTAAATAGAAATGACAAAACAATTTTTTTTATTTATTAAAGAATGAAATACAAAATAAACTACACAACTAAAAAATACAGAAATGAATTAGATTACATTACTAATAAAACAAATTATTAACATGGATAACTAAATATTAGAACTCATCTTTGTAAACTAATTTTTGAAAAATTTAAGAACAAATGATAAAAAAGAAGCAAATCGAAACTTGTGTGATACCATAGTTTTCTTAAAACAGATTTTTATAAATAGGTTTTTATAAAACAATTTGGTTTTCATTATAATTTTATTCCAATGACTCTTGAAATTAAAATTAATTTAATTGCCTAGAGTTATTGGAATTTGATTGTTTGTTTCAAGTAATTTATTCATGCAATTTATTTGATGGTAATTAATTGTTATTGCATGAGTTATTTGATTGTTAGTGTTTAAGTTGGTAGGAAAAAAAATTATTATGTAAGATTCTTACTATTTTATTTGATTTGTTTGATTGTTTTCTTTTACAGTTAACTTTTTATTTACAGGTTTTTCTAAGCGAGAAATGAGGATATATATTATACGAACAAATATAATAAATTGGAATTAGTAAATTGGACTACTAATTTTTTATTTAAAACAGTGATACCCCATGGGTCGTGGGTCCTAGATTGTGGATCGTGGGGCTTGGGCTTGAAGCTTGGGTTAGGTTTGGGTTGGGCCGGGTTGGTGGTCCACCAACCTAATCTTTTTTGGGCCAGGTTTGGTGACAGCAAATATACACACATGTATATATAGAGTGTGTAACTCACACACTTACTCCCCATCATTGTGCATTACTCCTATTGGAAAATAATGGTTTTTTGACAACTTTAATTCGAAATTAAAGTGAGACCCAACCGCCGGTTAAGACGGGTTTGAGTGATTTTGTATTCTCTTAAGTGAGAAGAATGCAATACAAAAATAATGAGTCAAAACCATTGAGTTGTGAATGAGAATTGTCTCATACAGTGGGCATCAATAAAGTTGGGTTTAGATTTGGACTTAGTTTTGGTTTGGACTGGGCCTAGACTTGTACTTGTGCTAGGGGTGCAACTCGGACAGGCTCAACCTGAGCAACCCGTGCCCAGCCCGAGTTTTTTTAGGGCTTGGGCAACAATATCTTGTAATTTGGACAGGCCTAGGCATATTTTTGATGCCTGAATTGTAATTCGGGCTAGGCCTGGGCAGAATCAGTGGCTAACCCGAGCAACCCGAACCCGAATTGCATTTAATATATTATATAAACTGTATAATATATGTATAAATTAAATAGTTGTCCCTTATTTTTTTATTTTTTTTTATTTTTGGCTGGTCTTTGGCCCTTGGATTAGCATATTTTATTTGGACCATTAGATTAAAACTAAAAAGAAAACCCTACCTTATCTAGTCTTTCTTCCCTCTCTTTCAGACTCTCATTTCATTTGTTCAGGAGAGTTGAAGAACGACGGAGATAAGCTTCGACTAACAACGACGACGCCACCAACAAAGATGCCACCCTTTCTATAAGCTTCGACGCCACACAAAACTGGTACATCCCTCTCAGTGTTTGTATTTGTGCTTCAATTTGTCTATTTTTGGTCACTCGTCATTATATTTTTATACGTAGTAGTGTTTGTGGCTGGGATGATGTTTATGTATGGAATAATGAAGCACTGTTTGTTGTATGGAATAATGAACCACTATTTGTGTTGCCTTACGAAATTTACTTTTACATGTACCAGCATTTGTGGCTGGAATGATGTTGAAGTTTGTTGTATAGACTAATGGACTTGTGTATATAATGAAGCACTATTTGTTGTATGGAAAAATTCAGAAGCTGATTGTTACCTTGTGAAATTCGAGCAATTCAGGCTAACCTGAGTTCAAATTATAAAGCTTGGTCTGGGCTTGGGCAGCCATGCTCGGGTTAATGGTCGGGCTTGGGCACTGCCAAACACAATTCGGGCTGAGCTTAGGCAAACCCCCAACCCAATTGAACCAGCCCGAGTTGCACCCCTAACTTGTGCATGTGCTAGGTTTGGTCTTAGACTTGAACTTGGACCTAGTCTTGAGCTTTGGGCTGAGCTATGTTAGGCTTAGTTTGTGCATGTGTTTGAGATTGGGATTGGATCATGTTGTGACCCAACACCCTTATCCATTTTGCAACCTATCTTGTTTAATTATCAAAACTTATACATTATATACACATTATGATTTATATAATGGTTTTGGAGTTTTGAACCTTTGTAACTCTAGCCCTAATGGCTAGAGTTGATGACATTTGATGACCCCATTAATGTTAGTCTTCATGGCTAAGGCTCTCCCCTACTAGTATAAATAGAGGCCTTTCTCCTCCAACTTAGTAGGTTGTTTTTGGAGAGGTTTTGTGATAGAAAATGAAATGATGTTTTGAAATAAAAAGTTGGAGATGATTTTTTACACCAAATTTTTTTTTCCTATATTCTTTTGCTAGCCTTTTCTTTGGTTCTTGTTAGAGAGAGTCAAGCCATTGTCAAGTTCGTCGAAGCTATTTAGAAGGTGCTTTTGCATTAGCTGGTCTAAACCGTCATATCCTGGGAGACAGAAGTCGACAAACCTCCAGCACCCACGGTGAGGTGACTAATCTATTTTAAGGACATTGTGGTATCACACATGCTTCGGTTTGTGCTTTCTTTACCATTTTATTGTATTGTGTATTTCTGTGCAATATCATTGTAAATTCCAGCATATTTTCTCAGTCTGTAATTTAATTTGTGAAAAACCTAAGCGATTCATGATTCGGACCAGACTTAATTG